CAGGACTATGGCTTAGCCGTGGACATTTTTAGTGGCAGCAGGGATAGCTGAACGTTTTGATATTTGTGTAGGTGGGCTTGAAAATGAGGGAGTGATGGCAGTTTAGAAATTATGTCCTGATTTTTCATCTCACACTCTAGCTTTTCTCAGCACCCACTCTAGTTTTGAACATTCCGCCATTCATTCCTATGGGACCAATTTCACCACAAAAACGCTGATATTTCCTGAACCATTCTACGAAATGTTCCACAAAGTAATAGCACACCAATCGTGAACAATCCGCAGGTTTCGGTATATTACTGTGTATGTAGTGTAAAAAACTGTGGGAGGAGTTAGGGTGGTACATTTGGCTATAATAATAAGAATATATATGTGAGATAACAGGAAGTGGTCTTGCCATGCAAGAACACTTAATAATAATAAAATAAAAGGCCATAGGATATAAATACACTATAGAGAATATGAGTGGTTATCGTACAAAATATTTGTTTGAAATATATGATGTACATGCATGTTATTGTCACATTTTAAAATGCACCAGACAAATATTTTTACAATAACCCAACGACACAAAAAATGGCAACCGTCCCCACCTATAACCAGCCTCAGCACAAACCAAGGATTTCCCAGCAACACTTACCAGTCAGCTTGCGATACAACCAATTTGGCCCTGTCTAACAGTTTGCGTTAAAAACAGGGTTTTGCTTGCACACATTTGCAAATACATGCGTAAGCCACAGTCCTATGTCAAGGATCCTCTGTATACTGTGGACCTTACAAACTAAAATTTCTAAAGCCTCCATAGTAGGAGCAGGCTGGCTGGTAAGTGTTGCTGGGAAATGCTTTGTTTGTTTGCGATGTACATTGCCCTTCCATGTGCACCTTACTGCTAAGGCTGGTTATAGGTTGGGACGGTTGCCATTTTTAAGTAGTTGGCTAGTTTGGATGCAGGGACACACTGGATGCCTTTGTTGTCATTTTGGTATAGCTGGGTGTCACGTGTGTCCCTATACCTTTAACCACTTTACCCCCCTTCCTGACCAGGCCATTTTTTTTGTTATGGAGCTGCGTTACTTTAACTGACAATTGCGCGGTCATGCAATGCTGCACCCAAATGAAATTTACGTGTTTTTTTTTCCCACTAATAAAGCTTTCTATTGGTGGTATTTGATCGTCTGTGCGTTTTAAATTTTTTTGCGCTATAAAAAAAGAACGACAATTTTGAGAAAAAAACAATATTTTTTACTTTATGCTATTAAATATGTCCAGTAAAAAAATTTAAAACATCAAATTTAGGCCAAAATGTATTCTGCTACATGTCTTTGCTAAAAAAAAATCCCAATGCGTGTAAATTAATTGGATTACGTGAACGTTATAGCGTTTACAAATGGAGCAATAGATACTGGAATTTTTTGTTTTATTTTTTATTTTTTACTAGTAATGGCGGCGATCAGTGACTTATAGCGGGACTGTGGTGGGCATTTTCTGACACTGAGGGGAACCGACTTGGTGTCACTGACATCCCCAGTGACACCAACACAGTGATCAGTGCTAAAAAAAAAAGCTAATGGCACTGGGCAGGAAAGGGTTAACATGAGGTCCGATCAAAGGGTTAACTGTGTGCTGTTTCACTATAAGCTGTGTCCGTGTGCTTCACTATAATTACACTGCTTTGCATGGCTGTGCTGTGCACAGCCATCCAAAGCAGTGTGCACAAGCTGACAGAGAGGAGAAAGGAGAACTGTTTTGTTTACAAACAGTTCTCCTCCCGTTGGAGATGCTCGGCAATAACCAGGCGCCGGCGAGTAAATGAGTAATTACCAGACAGGACCCGGTGAATGACAGCGGCGGGGACGTGAATGATGGCGCGGGTAGGACGCGCATGCCCCCTACCCAGAAATGCAAAATCACAATCATTTATTCGTGGTTTTGCGCCCCTGTGCTGCCCTGTAGCAGTATATCTGCTATAGGGCAGTCGGGAAGTGGTTAAGGAGGGATGGGCTCCTCCAGGCACACATGCCCTTAACCTATCCCATGATACATGTGCTCCTACTATGGAGGCTTTGGATATTTTAGTTAGCTCCACAGTATACAGAGGACCCTTGACGTGGGACTGCGCATAATGGCCTGTGTAAGCCAAGATACACGTTGACAGTGTTACATGTTTTTTTAAGAACAATAAAGACCCACATTGTTATACAAGAAACCTTTGAGCATCTCCTCCTTTATGGGCACCTCTGCATACCCCTGGTACATACTTTCTGGGGCCAAGCTCCTAAAGCAATAATCAAATCTTAAGCCTGGTATACACATTAAGGTTTTTTGTGTTCAATTCAGCAGGCTGAATGAATAAAAAAACTGAAAGGTTGCTGTACTAATTAAGCAATGTTAATACAGCGACCTCTCTCTGTGCCTTTATGTTCTGACAGGGGGACCCCATCCCCGCCACAACACACTAATCAGCGTTTACAGCCATTGGCTGCGAGAGCTGATTGGATGCTAGTTTTCCAGCATTTCTCTTTTGGCAAATCCAGCCCATAAATCAGCTTCTGTCGGAAGGACAGCTGTACACCAGGTCCAAATGTCGGCCAGTTCCTGCTAACCAGCGAATATATTGAGCATGTGTACCCTGCTTAAGTTAAGCTGCTTCTTCCAACACCCAGAAATTTGTTGGGCAGGAAAGGCGATTGCATTGGTCAGGGGCTCAGTGAAGGGAGATATATGGGTCAATCTCAGCTTGGGCAGAAGTCAAAGCCCCATGTACATTCTGAGTCTAGGATTCAAGGGCTCTCCAAAGGAAAGGAGTAATTAAATTGAAGACTAACACATGCATTTAGAGGCACCACCATGTCCCTTGTACTTTACCATTCATGACAAGTCAAGTTAAATTTAAAATACTTACAGGTGGCAGAGCCTACCTACTCCAGGCCACACAACAGCTTGAAATCTATTGAGTTTAGTGGGAACACCAATCATTAGGCCATCTGTATATGCAACCCAGGTATTCTCCATACCATCACTGTAGCCTGCTACAGAAAGTTGGTATTCTAAGCCCTAAGCACTGTAGCCTATTAAAGCAAGGTGTAGTTCAGAATAGCAACATGTTTGAGGCAATTGAAAAGATCTTCAGTTTCTGACTGTAGAAACAATGACAATCAGTAGTAAAGGTTGAAGAAGCTTAGGTCCCATACACACAATAAGAATAGCGGACAAATGATCATCCATTTTTTTGCATTCTAGTCTCATATCGAAAGTGAAGAGGTTACTAAAGTTACGAAAATTCTTGTTTGACAGAATAAAAATTCAAAAGTGATGTAATGTATTGTATTTGTAATGTATTTTTGGATGAAAACTGTACTGATTAAACTAAAATCGTATGATCTGGTATCATTTGAGAAACATTTTCATGCTTGCCCCTTCAAATAATTTCTGACAAAAACTGTGTACTAACAATCAGATTATCGTACGATCGCTTTGAAAGTGGAATTTTTCGTACGATTTTCTGACTGTGTGTAGTAGGCTCAACCTCAATGAGAAAATGTTTTTGAATATCCCATTAAGCAAACGAATTCTGGACAAGATATATTTGTTTAATTCTGATCTTAATCCTCTGATCTTGAAGACTTTAACAGGAACAGCCAGTCCAAAATTTGCCATTGCATGGATGTCTTTGAAAGTACAGCCAATCATGCCTCGCACAGTCAAACAGGAACACAAAATAAAAATCATTAACTACAAAGAAAGTTAAAAAAATCCTCTAATTGTGATGTCAGTATATGATATGCTGCCAATGTATTACATGATATTATGTCATATTTAATAAAAAGCTTATGGCAATAGAAAATTTATTGTGCCATTCAAAACACAGTGATAGGCGTTGCCTTAATTGTACAATCTTCTTCCATTTGCTCAACCCTTTGGTGTTACATTCCACAAGTCAGCTGCAATTATAACTGAGGTTACACCCATCCACCTTTTACACTGCATTGTTGTAAGCCAATAAAAACTGAAATCCTTAATATACTTGTAATCAAGCAACCATTTAAAACTAATTGTATTTTGGGTTGAGCCTAAATGAAGTCATACAATGTGACAAAGAGACCCACATTTTGGGGAAATTTTATATTTTATACTTATTTTCTTGATGGCACACACTGATTACGGCTAGGGTTAAAGGAGGACTTTTTAGGTCTACATCTTCAAAACTTTCAAAACATATATCCTAGTAAAGGATCTTGCTCCTCAATGATTAATGCGTGATTGCATTAGAATATTGTCCCCAACGTCTACACCAACATGAGCCAGCAATAATGGACTCAGTGAGGATCTTATTTGCTGCGATATTCCAAAAGGTAGGCATAAAAATCTCTCCTATGAAACTTTCCAATTTGGGGGAATTCTGTCTTATAATATATTCTTTTCAAACTCCTGAGGAAGTCACACTTTTTGACATAACATCTAGGGCGGAGTCGGGTCACATCACAAAGCATATTCAGAAAGTGACCAGTACACACAGAGAAAAACAATAATGATTACTATATAAGTACCATATGTGATTTTAAGCAGAATGCTGATGTGCATTGGATTATGTGCACAACAAAATGTGAGTGAAATTTAATTTTTTATATAAATGTGTTTTGATTTTAATGGAAAGCACTGTGAGAGTTATGTGTGTCTTACTGTGAGCTATCCTTGAGCTGGAGTGAGGAGGAGATAAAAGGGAAGAAAGGAGTAAAGTACCATGTTTAAACCCTGAAGGGGAAGACATCTTCTAACCTTTATAATTTACAGGTCTTACACCAAAAGAGGGAGAGTGCATTCTGGGTAAAAAGTCTGCACAGGCTGGAGAAAGAAGCTGGAGAAAGAAACATGATGGACTATTTTTGTTATATTTAACAATGTAAAATGCATTGGTGGAGGAGATAATATATAAGGTGGTTTATAGAAAGTATAACACTTTGTGGGTGGATTATATACACTATATTTATATGTAAATAGATATTAGTTACCGGCAGGGGCGGACTGACAACTCATGGGGTCCCGGGCAATAGGGGATCATGGGGCCCCTGTGTCCTTGCCCAAACTCAAAAACGCCTATGAAAAAGGTACCAGGGGCATCTCATGGGGCCCCCTACTGACCCCGGGCCCTCGGGCAGTGCCCGAGTTTCCAAATGGTCAGTCCGCCCCTGGTTACCGGTATGTGTTGCATTAATAAGATTAGGCAAGTAGCACTGCACTGATTTATAGTATAAAAAGCTCACCTGTGACATTTCCACTTTGAGAGGAATACCGTCTTATACCACGTTCTTTTCCAGCAATAGAAAATCATAAAAATAATCGACATGCATAAGTATTGAAAGTACTTACACATATGATTTCAGTTAACAGTTGCAGGGACTTTTAAACATGTTCAAAATCTGACCAATGGGTAGCCAGGTGTAGGCACTTGTCAAGGTCCTACCTTTTCCCTGAGGTTATGTTACTCCATGTGCTGGCGTCCATCTTGGATTCTGCTGTGCATGATGGGAATCCTTTTATGCCTTCAGGTCTCTGTGGTCCATCCCCCAGAGGGGTGTGGCTGATGACATATAAGCCTGTGGCCCGCACATGCTCTTTGCACTTGTGTCTTGTGTCTTTGTGTTGCTATTACTCTGTTCTGACTCTCGTGACTCTCCTGGTATCTGATTCAGCTTGTGACTTGACTATTCTTTGTATTCTCCCTTGATCTGACCCTCTGTTGCTGAACCCGGCTCGTGACCTGTGATTCTCGTCTGCTGTCCTGTACTGTTTTGTCCTGTTGTTGTTGACCCGGCTTGTCTGACTACTCTTTTGTCTCTTCCACCAGCTACACGCCATTGGCGGTGGCCATTACCGCAGCTGAGGTGTCTCGGGGGCCGCGACCTGGTTCCTGGCTGCGTCAAGTCCATCCCCACCATCGGGGGCCCTGGTGAAGGGCAGCCTGGGACTTAGACTCCGCGCCCTGAGGGACTTCGGTCTGTGGGTAGTGGTTGTCGTCAGCCAGTGCGTTACATTGTTAGGCCTGCCTGTCCGTTCCTCGGCCCCTGCCCTGACAGCACTATGGGGAAAAATAATAGGGAGAAGATTGTGAGACAGAAATTAAAAATGACATCATCCCTTTTGATTGTATTAGGATTTATTGTGTGTGAGGGGATAATTCAAGAATTTTCATGACATTTTTGATATGTGCCTGACGATAAGCTATAATTAGATCCTTTTTTGTAAATTATTATGCAAGCTTACGGGAGAGTACTGCACCTCATTTACTAAAATGTCCACTGGAACCTGAAATTGTAGATATTCTGTCCCCCCTTAGAATGATCATATAAAGATGCCTCCCTAATGTCAGCTGTCAAACCAGATAAGAGGAGTATGGGTGAAGGGAGTATAAGTATTGTGGTGGCAGGACATGCAGGAGGTGTCGCAGTGGGTACTGGAAAGCATTTAGAGTAGTCACAGTGGAGTGTAATAGCTTGGGGCCCTGGGAAGCATTATCTGGCCCTATGTGTCATAGACAAGGTGATTTGCATCACTGCATACTGTACAGGGGCGTACTGACTATTTGGAAACTCAGGCACTGCCCGAGGGCCCAGGGTCAGTAGGGGGCCCCATGAGATGCTCCTAGTACCTTTTTCATAGGCTTTTTTGAGTTTGGGCAAGGACACAGGGGCCCCATGATCCCCTATTGCCCGGGGGCCCCATGAGTTGTCAGTCCGTCCCTGATACTGTATGTATAACAGTCACATACCACCCAAGTCAGGGTAACATTTTGTAGCTGGCTCATGAGTTTGCACTGCAGAAAGGAAAATCCTGCATTACCCATGGTTGCTTGACATTACAAAACAATTCCATCTTCTCACCTGATCTATCTTTTTCTCATCCATCATAAAAGGGATTTACAGGCACCCCAATTATAACTTTTTATTTCAGATTAGCCATAGATATGAGATGCCCTCCATATTGGCTCACCTTATACAAACTCTTTTATCTAATTATTTAGGGTGAAACATATAACATGTTCCAGCTGCTGCCACCAATCCCCCGACTCCCTCCCCCCCAACCCCTCATTGTAACAGCAGGCTAGGGATCTTATCCTTGCACCCGCTGTCACAATTTAAAATCAGCCTGCATAGCCGAGTCTTTCATTTACAGTTTCTTGTGAATGCCTTGAACTACAAGTACTGTCAGCCTTTATGGCTGATGGCTTGTAGCTCTGAATGATCTGCACATTGCAGTTCATTCAGAACTACAAGCCATCGGCCACAAAGCCACAAAGGCTGATGAGCACTTTGGTAGTTCATTCACAAGCTCTGCAGATTCAAATAGTGAGTCTGCATTGGAGGTATGGGCTGAAAGCTGCAGGTCTTGTCTGCAAGAGCGTGACATTGCACCCCTGATTCGCTGATTTTGGGTGCAATGCTTTTCAGGCTCCTGCAACAAAAAAGAATAAGTGCATATTTTTTTTCTTTAAAAATATGTGTATTTAATATTTTTATAGAAAGGTGGAACTTAGCCTTTTAATGAATGATAGGAACCTCCTGCGCTACTCAAAAAATGGACTAATACCAATTATGGGGAGGAGGCTGCTGACACCCAACCATATACCAAATGGATAATGTGCAAAATATAATGTGAATTGGTGCAGCACTACCCCAACACTACTACTCCCTCACTGTCTTATCCCTCACTGTACTTATCCCAGTTTTAAATCATCCAAAATGGGAATACAATAAACTTTGTTTTAAAGTGCTAAATGATCTATTCTATTTTACGTACTTATTGTACATCATTTATTGGTTTATTTCATCCATTTTTGGGATAAGACAGTGAGTGAGAGTAGTGTACTGTGTTGGGTAGCGCTGCACTAATTCACATTTTTATCAAACTGTTTTTAGCTTTTTAATGCTTTACATTTTTGGGCAAGAGAGTTTGTTCTTTTTAATGCTTTACTTGGGCAAGAGAGGCCTGCGCTGCAGGACTGGCTTCCAGGAGCAGCGGGTGAAGTGAAATTGTATCCTATAGAAACCAATACAAGCAGGTCAGAGATGATCTGCATGACTCTGCTCACTGCCATGAATAGGTGAATCAACCCTTTAATTTTGGACATGTTGAAGGTGAATACATGTAAGTAACCTGGGGTAAAGAGGGTAATCATGTGGTATTTTCAGTCTTGTGTGCTAATTATTATGATTATAAATATTTTTTTCTATTCACTAAACAATCTATCTCATAGATCAACCAAATTTATAGAATGTTAATTTAACAAATGTTGTTGTATTTTGTATATGGAAGTCAATTCAAGAAAACCAAAGCAGACAAGCCTTAAAATGCTAATAATTTGTGTTACCATTACGGTCCTATGAGGTGTCTGCTGCGAACAGAAACAGGAGATGGTCTTATAAATGGTAAAAGGAAATTTTGGCTTGTAGAATTTAACAGTTATTTAATGTGAAACAATATAAATTTCAAATCTATGAGATATGTGACGGTTTAGTGCATTGACCACATCCTCTCTCACTGTAAAGCAAAGCAGTGTTTTGCCCATTCAGAGCAAAGTAAACCCCAACCCTCCCCAGCATATGCTTATTATTTTTCTCTCCTCTGACTCTCCAGTCACTACCTAGAACAAAATGAAATGCCCAGTATTTTTGGGTACAGAGAAGCATGTGACAGTGATGGGCCCTGCGTAAGCTATAACTTCAGTGAGATGCTCATAGTTCACACATGAATTTCCCTAATTCCTAGCAGCTGAACAGAGCAGCGGGGGAGTAAAAGGAAAGTCAGTATCTTGTTGCTTTGCTCTGCATTACCAAAGCACAGGTTCATTTTAAAGTAATTGTAAAGGATTTTTTTTTTTTTTAAAACAACAAACATGTTATACAGACAGTCCCCGGTTTCCGAATAAGATAGGTTCTGTAGGTGTGTTCTTAAATTGAATTTGTATGTAAGATGGAACAGGTAATTTTTTAAGTGTAACTCCAGCCAAAAATTATTTTTAAGTTTTGGATAGCATAGGGAAAGGTTAAGTCGGAGCTCCACCCAAAAGGGGAAGTTCCACTTTAAGCCTTTGTCCTCCGCTCCCCATTGGCACCTTTGGGGAGGGAGCGGGTACCTGAATTTGACAGGTACACGCTCCCACTTCCGCTACGATCGCCTTGGCAATCGGATGTGGAAGTTGTCCTTCCCCCCCGCCCTCCTCGTAGTTTTCTGGGACACGTGACAGGTCCCAGAAGACTACGGGGCCATTCACAAAGCTCATCACTTCTCGCCCATCCATGGGCACCCGGCTGTGAAGCTGCAAACTGTCACAGCTGGGTGCTTACACTGAAGGTGCCGGAGCCAGGGAGAGAAGACGGCTGGTGAAACCAGTGGTGGTGAGGCACCGCTGGACCGAGGGACAGGTAAGTGTCCATATTTTAAAAGTCAGCAGCTACAGTTTTTGTAGCTTCTGACTTTTATTTGTTTTCTCAGGTAGAACTCCACTTTAACAGGCCATGCAGTGATGTGGGATTGCTGACAGGTCCACCAGATAGTAGGTAACAGCATGTGGTGAGCAGCAAGATGGCTGCCCGGTGGTTTCCAGAACCAGCGTGACATTACACTGCCTCTGTTCCTAAGTACAAATTATATGTAAGTCAGATGTTTGTAACTTAGGGACTGCCTGCAGTTACCTGCTCTGTGCAAAACCATTGCACAGAGCAGCCCCGATCCTTCTCTTCTGGGATCCCCTGCCAACGCTCCTGTCTCCACCTACCTTCTGAGTAACTCACATGGGCTGGATCCCGAGCTGCACTGTGGGTGTCTATTGACACACACAGTGTGGGTCAGTCCTGCCTCCCACTCACTTGTCACTGAATTTGATTGAGTCCAGTGAGAAGAAGGAGAGAGAGAGAGACAGAGTAGCACTGCTGCTCTCAGGCACAGCTCTGGATCGAGATCAGGCTCAGGTAAGTATTTAGGAGGTCCGGAAGGAAGGTGCACCTAAACGTTTTTTTGTTACCTTAATGCAGAGAATGCAATAAGGTAATAAAACCTTTAGTCTTTACCAGCACTTTAAGAAGACATACTGTACTTTACAGGGCTTTAG